GATGAGCTGGTTTTCAGAGATAAAATGAGCCCTTTGTAGGTGAGTCAAGAGCAGTGGCATCTTCTATACCCAGGGGCAGGCGGACGCCAGTTCTGGGTATGGGAAGGCTTGCAGAGATAAGGACATGTTTCAGGGACAGAGGAAATCAGCCAGTTACTGGAAGACGAGAGTTAATGTTTCAAGTGGCGGCCACTAGAGTGTTGGAGTCCAAACCTGGTGAGGGGGACATCCACATGGAGGGTTGTACTGGTATGGGGGGGTCAGAACCCAGGCGGGGTAAGGGCAACACGGTGGTCAGTCTGCCTGGTGGGAGGAGTCAATGTCCAAGCAAAGTAAGGAAGACATCCATACAGGTAGAGGAATGGTGTCAGAAAGGGAGACTGATTATATAGCGGGGCATTCATTCATTCAGGATAATGGGAATCAGGTTTCCCAATATCAGATATCAGCACCCGATATCAGGGTGCTGCCAAGTTGAACAGAAAGAAAACTAGAATGAACCCTATTGTACTTAATTGGAGGTGTTGGTATAAAATCATGGCTTTCAAAATATTTAGAGAAGTGCGTGCGTGCGTGCGTGTGTGTGTTCCCATTTTTCTACTGAGAGGTCTTGGGACCAGTGATACTTCAAAGAAATGAGCACACTTAACACCCAGGTCCTGGTTTCTGAAATGCCATTCTCCGCTTAAAAGCAACCCAGCCTCTTTGGGAAATGGCTGACTCCAGAGTTGGGACAGGGAAAGCCTGGAACATCCAGTTAGAATAGAAAGGAAGTGTTGGAGTAGGTTACCAGGAGGACCGCTGGTTGACCTGTGAGCTGGACCTGGGCACTCAGAGGCTCCTCTCCCATTCCTAAATCCTTGGAATGTGGGTTCCACTTGCCTTTCCTATTCCCAGAGGCTGCCCCAAGGACATAGCCTTGAGATAGCGATGTGGTGCTGAGATATACCATCTGGATGGTATATATGAATGTCCCCTTAAAAAAATTTTTTTTAATGTTTATTTATTTTTGACAGAGAGAGAGAGAGACAGAGCATGAGCAGGGGAAGGACAGAGAGAGAGGGAGACACAGAATCCGAAGCAGGCTCTGGGCTCTGAGCTGTCAGCACAGAGCCCGACGTGGGGCTCGAACTCACAGACTGCGAGATCATGACCTGAGCCGAAGTCGGACGCTCAACCGACTGAGCCACCCAGGAGCCCCGAATGGGTCCCATTAAGGTCTCTACATAAATTTTTAAGATTCTGGTGGGCAGGTGTGGAGATCTACTCATCTTGCAGACACCCAAGACAAGCCTCGAATGTCATTCCTTTGCTTATTAAAACTGCCACCTACCGATCTGGAGTGGCCTTCTTCTTTCTTCCTGCCCTATATGTATGGGGACTAGTTTCAGATTTCACCCAGGGAAAGTCCTGAGGTTGCAGACCAACAGGAAGGAAAACTGATTGGCAAAAAAACGGATAAGCAGATGTCAAGAGGACACAGAAGCCGGTTTGAAAGGCTTCCACTGGCCAAATCAAAGACAATTTAAGCATCAAAAATATGGGAGGAAGAAGCAACATCAGCAAAAATGCCACAGTAAGTTTTGTCCTTCTAGGAAAGTGATGGAATAAACTGCAAAATTTGTCAGAACCAGCATTTTTAGAACTCTGGAAATCAACCAAAATCTCACAATAATTCAGGGAGCATGTAGTCAAGAAAAAGAGCTGAATCTCAGTAAAGAACAGTGAGCTCAGGAGAATCTTAACTTACTCTGGTTCGATTCCCCACCCTCCAACTCAGAAGTAGCCCTGAAAAGTAACAGTCTGGATAGCTGGTTCTGGAGGGAGAAGAACACAGCTGGAGCTCTTAAAAATCCTCACTGCTGAGCAGGAGTCATCATTTGATCTGTCTGATTTCCCTGGAAGCCCACACTTGAAAGGGTAGTCTTCAACTGACCCTGCTTGAACTTGCCCAGTGCTAAAAGCCTCTCTCCAGGGGACACTCCTCAAATGTTTTAACAGGACAGCTGCCTGAGGCAATGAGGCAAATACCAGCCTAATCAAAAGTCTCAAAAGGAAAAGTTAAGGAATGAGAGATGTCCTTGGGGCTTTGAAAAGTTCTGATATATTCTTGGGATCTGAAAGGTCACCTGTACGCACAGGGGTTTGTGCACACCCAGGAAAGATCTGAGAAAGCCCTAAGCTCTCAGTTCTGGCTGGCTTTAAGGCTCTGGGAAAGCAGGAAGTGAAGGCTAAGGCAGAGCTTCAAACTTTCTGGCTGTGTGTTGAAGGTGTGTCTGAACACACAAAGTCCCTCAGCAGAGACTGGGAGACTTTTAGAGGCATTCAAGGAAATCTCTGTCCAGCCATCAGCTAACTTCTAAGCTGAGTAGAGATTTTAGTGGGCTTACATGACAGAGACTTTACAGAATTAGTTCAGAAAAGTCATTAAATAAGCAAAAAAACAACAAACAACAGTGACAGCAAACCTTTAGGAGGAGGAAAACTCTGATTTCCATAGCTGCCGTATTATTTAAAGTGTCCATTTTTCGGGGCGCCTGGGTGGCGCAGTCGGTTGAGCGTCCGACTTCAGCCAGGTCACGATCTCACGGTCCGTGAGTTCGAGCCCCGCATCGGGCTCTGGGCTGATGGCTCAGAGCCTGGAGCCTGTTTCCGATTCTGTGTCTCCCTCTCTCTCTGCCCCTCCCCCGTTCATGCTCTGTCTCTCTCTGTCCCAAAAATAAAATAAACGTTGAAAAAAAAAATTTAAAAAAAAAATAAATAAATAAAGTGTCCATTTTTCAACAAAAAGATTATGGGACATACGACGAAACAATGAAATATTACCCATACATGGGCAGGGAGGCGGGGGTGGGGCAGAAAAAGTGACTAAAAACTGTTTCTGAGAGAGCACAGATGTTGGAATTACTAGGCAATGATTCTAAATCAGTGATTTTAACTAAATTGGTATTGATCCTACCTAGATTGTGATAAATTAATATGTTAATAGTAATCCCCAGGGCAACCAAAAAATAATTCAAAAATATATAGTAAATGAAACTAATAACCAAGAAAGACCTAAGACATATAAAAAACAAATAGCAAAATGGGAGATGTAACTCCTAAATTACCAGTAATTACATTAAATATAAATGAACTAAACTCTCCAATTAAAATGTAGAGATTGACAAAAAATTAAAAATAGAACTACCCTACAACCCAGCAATTGCACTACTAGGTATTTATCCAAGGGATACAGGTGTGCTGTTTCAAAGGGGCACATGCACCCGAATATTTATAGCAGTACTATCAACAATAACCAAAGTATGGAAAGAGCCCAATGTCCACTGATGGACGAGTCGATAAAGAAGATGTGGTGTGTATATATAGATAATGGAGTATTACTCGGCAATCAAAAAGAACGAAATCTTGCCATTTGCAACAATGTGGATGGAACTAGAGGGTATTATGCTAAGTGAAATTAGTCAGAGAGAGACAAATATCATATGACTTCACTCATATGAGGAATTTAAAATACAAAACAGATGAACATAGGGAAGGGAAACAAAATAATATAAAAACAAGGAGAAGGACAAAACATAAGAGACCCTTAAATATAGAGAACAAACTGAGTGTTGCTGGAGGGGTTGTGGGAATGAAGATGGGCTAAATGGATAAGGGGCATTAAGGAAGACACTTGTTTGGATGAGCACTGAGTGTTTACATAGGGGATGAGTCACTGGAATCTACTCCTGAAATCATTATTGCACTATATACTAACTTAGATGTAAATTAAAAATAAATAAATAAATAAAATGTAGAGATTGACAGAATGGCCTAAAAAAGATGATCCAATTGTATGCTGTCTACAAGAGACTTTGCTTATTTTTAATGTTTGTTTATTTTTGAGAGGAAGAGAGAGAGGGGGAGAGGGAGAGGGAGAGAGAGAGAGAGAGACAAGATCTGAAGCGGGCTTCTTGCTGACAACATCGAGCTTGACTTGGGGCTCTAACTCATGAACATGGAGTTCATGACCAGAGGGGAAGTCAGACGCTTAATTAAAACTAACTGAGCCACCCAGGCACCCCCAAGAGAGTCACTTTAGATTAAAAAAAGAGAGAGAGAGAGAAAGAGAGAGAGAGAGAGAGAGTAATGTATAACCAATTGAATCAGGTTGGAAACCAGGAGTCCATACATATGCAAAAGGAGAGTTTGATATACACGTTTCAGAGTGACTCTGCAAAATGCTTCATAATCAAAAAGAGGAAAAGAGTAATTACTTAATAGTTGGTTAATCAAGGGAACGTTAAGTAGTGGTTAAGCAGGGACCCAGAGGCCCACCGGCCAGGGTCCTATTCCGAGTACCGCCACTTACAAGCTGTGTGACCTCAGGCAGTTCCTTTCCCTCTCTGTTTCTCAGTTTCCTCATCTGTAAAGCAATAGAAAAACCGTGTCTTCCTCATAGGGCAAATGTGAGATCTCTCAGGGCGCGCCCCCACCCCCCAGCCAAAGACCACCAGGAACTCACTCGCGGTCGAACAGATCCAGATTTATTGCTTGTTCCACAAGGGGGAACACACACCCTGGGGAACTGCCAGGCACGTGCCAAACGCTATTGCTACTGAGCACCTATTATTAGAATAGGCGATGTATATACCCAGCACTAGCACCCCGTGGTAAACCTCACAGAAACAGTTCGAGGCAGGGCGCTTGTCCCGCTTCCCACCTGAGGAAACTGAGACTCCGACCAGGCCGGGCCAGCGCTCGCAGGACTGGATAGGGTTGGAACAGCGCCTTGTGACCCCGGGGTTGACCGTGCGGCTCCTGCCCCCACCCTCCGTGCCTTCTCTCCTACTTGTGTCAGCACTTCATTCCTCCACCCTCTTTTCCGAGAGGAAGCAGTGGAGGTTTTGTGTTCTTCTTCCTGAATCGGGGAGGAATGTTCCTAAGGAGGGGCTGCTGGGGCAGCACGTGGGGTTATAAAAACCACCGCGTGGAGGGGAGCCGGAGAGAAGAGGAGGATGGCGGAGATGTGTGACTCCAAGGAGCCGGATGACCCCGGTGAGGCTGAGCCCCCACCCTGGGGTGACGGCAGGGAGGGCCGGGCTCCCTCCAGGCTCCTGGGGGAGTCAGGTCTGGCCTCCGGCTTGCAGTCCTGACGGCGGGGCTCGGGCAGGCGCGGCTTCAAAGCTCGGCTAAGTGTGTTCTGTCCCGTTCAGAGGTGGAGGTGTTTGGGGACCAGAGACTGGCTAAGAAATACACCGGCCTGCTCAGGAGCTCACGGAGCCTGCCAGGTACCGAGGTGGGCGTGTCCAGAGCGGGCATCTGGGCAAGGGGCAGCCGAGAGGCCCCCGCTCCAGCATGGGGGGTGGGGGGTGGGGCAGTGTCCGTCCCTGCGGACCTCAGCTCTGCCCGTCTGCTGGTCCTTCAGGGTGTCTGACCCAGGCCCACCTGCCTCTGCTGCTGCTTCTCGTCTCTCTGGGCTTCTTCATGCTCCTGGTGACCACTCTGGTTCAAGGTGAGTCGGAGGCTGGGGGCTCGGAGTCTTGGGTCGCTTTAGGTTGTCCCTCTGGGAAGGTCTCGGTGCTATTCCGCATCGCCTTCTGTGTGGCTGGGGGCTGGTTACTACCCCTCTCTGAGCTTGTTTCTTCATCTGTGAAATGTAGCTCGTCTTCCTCCACACGGGACCTAGGCTCCCAGAGACCTTGAAACCAGATTTGACACCAGGTCAGGCCTGAAGCTGGTGCTGATGAAAGGGCAATTCTCGGGGCTCCTGGGTGGTTCAGTTGGTTGAGCGTCCTACTTCGGCTCAGGTCATGATCTCATGGTTCATGAGTTTGAGGCCCGCATTGGGCTCCCTGCTGTCGGCACAGAGCCTGCTTTGGATCCTCCGCCCCCCTCTCTTTCTATCCCTCCCCCACTTGCTGTTTCTCTCTCTCTCGCTCAAAAATAAATAAACATTAAAAAAAAAATTGGGGCGCCTGGGTGGCTCAGTCGGTTAAGCATCTGACTTCAGCCGGGGTCATAATCTCTTGGTTGGTGGGTTCGAGCCCCGCGTCGGGCTCTGTACTGACAGCTCAGAGCCTGGAGCCTGCTTCGGATTCTGTGTCTCCCTCTCTCTGCCCCTCCCCTGCTCACACTCTGTCTCTATCTTCCTCTCTCAAAAATAAATATTTAAATTTTTTTTAAATAAAAAATAAATAAAGGGGAATCCTCTGGTCTGTTGCAGTCTCCAGGATCCACCAATCCCTGCAGAGAGACACAGGGGACCATCGGGAGAGGAACCATCAGGAGAGCCCCGGCCTCGGTGAAGGGCTAGATGCTGGGTTTGGGGCAGGAGAGGGCTCAGAGGCTGTGTGACTTTGGATGAGCCACCGCATACCCCTCTCCCCAGGGGTGAAGGAGGGAGGGTAGAGGTGGGGGAGGAGACTGGATCCCCGGGTGAGACCCTGGGGACGATGTCAGGCAAGTCATTTTCAGAGCCTCAGTTTTGTTGTGTGCACAATGGACTCTTGGGGTCCATTGTGAAATCCACTGATAATGTTGTCACGGGGCCCTCTCCACACCAAGCACACCCTAGGTGCTTAATAATTGAAGTCCTCTTTTCCCAGGGGATGTTTCTCAGGCCCAGAAACAATCATCCCTGGAGGAGATACTCCAGCAGCTGACCTGGATGAATGCCACCCTGGGTAAGCATCAGACGCCAAGGTCGGGAGGGAGTTTGGGGCTCCCAGGTGGGGCTGGAGCCCACCTTCTATGGCTCCTGGCTTCTCCAGGCTGGGGTCCGTGACACGGATTTCCTGGGGACTGAGCCGACAGCTGAACACAGGGGCCCGGCCCTGGGTTCCCAAGATCTGATGCACCTGCTGGGGGCCTGTCTGTCCCAACCCCACTCTCCTCCCCAGCTGGCCTGTGCCGCCACTGCCCCTGGAAATGGGAACTTTTCCAGGGAAGCTGCTACTTCTTCTCCCTGACCCAGAACACCTGGAAAGAGTCCATCGCCGCGTGTCAGAACATGAGGGCCCAGCTGGTGGTCATCAACAGCACTGAGGAGCAGGTGAGCTGAGCAGAGCGCCCGACTGGGGCGGGACCTCGGGAAGGCCGGCGAAAAGCCTTCTGTCCCTCTTCTGCCCTCCCCGAGATGGAGGCCTGGGGCGGGGAGATGGCAGGAAAGGCTTCCTGGAAGAGGTGGCCTTGGGAAGGTCATGTGAGAGAAGAACATGCCCAAGAGGAACCCATGTGTGAACAGAAAGGGAACTCAGAGCCCTCTCGAGACTGTGCAGAATCTCTCCCCAGACATGAAGCCGAGGCTCAAGTAAACGCGTTTCCACATGTGTACGCACATTATCACAGCCACGACACGCGCGCGTGTGAACACATACAACTTGAGTGAGGGCTATCGGCTGGACCACAGGTCTTCCGTTGGGGGGGGGGCAGGGGACCATGGGAATGTGGGCAGACATGGGGAAGGGTGATGTCTCACTGCCCGTCCTCCCCCGCCCCAGAAATTTCTGAAGTCTTGGAATACAAAAAATAGCCAGCGCACATGGATCGGCCTCAGTGACCACCACAATGAGGGTTCTTGGAGATGGGTGGATGACACTCCCCTCCAACTCAGGTGATCTCCCGGAGACAATGGCCTGGGAAGGGTGGGCACTGAAACCCAAACCCGGATGCTCAGACTCTGGAATTGGAAAGCATCATCTGATGGGCTTGCTTGGTGGAGATGCAGAGTCCTGACTCCATCCCAGGGTGGGGGGAGTCTGATTCTATAAATCTAGGTGTGGGCCCAGGAATCTGCATTTGTACTTTGCAAGCGCTGATTCCAGTGGGAGTGGTGTTTGAACCCTCGTTTTGAAAACGCTGCCTCTGAATCCTCGCCACTCTCTGACTGCTACTGGGGCTTTTGCCACCAAAGGCCGGGGACCAGCTCTTCCAAGGGTGGGCTGGGGAGTGGGCTCTGGGTGGAGCAGGGGGGCCGATGGCTTTGATGGTGTTCACAGCTTCTGGAAAGAAGGGGAACCCAACAACCACGGGGATGAGGACTGTGTGGAATTGTACAGTGACGGCTGGAATGACAACAGATGTAGTACAGAAAACTTCTGGATCTGTAAGAAGCCCTCGTCCCCCTGCCCGGGCCTCTGAGGGCCAGTGCTCCCCATGCCCCACCCCGTCTCCAGAGATCAGGCAACGAGCTCATGCATGCATGCTGCTCGTATCTCTCGGGCTTCATTCTTTCTGCTTCTCCTGCTGGTGGACTCCCATCCTTCTCCTGCATGGAGGCCTTTAAGGTCCTGAGAGAGATTCCGAGACCCCCTGCTCCTCTAAGATCTGTCCCTTCGTAGGCTGTAGACATCTCCCTTCTTCTGTTGATGGTCTCAGCCCCTCTCCAACACCCCCCATGACATCCCCTTAATAAAGTCACACACTGCATTATGTGTTCCATTGAACTTCTGTCTATTTTTTCAGCCACTGTTTCACTTACTATAGTGTTAAATTATATTTGATATAAACTAGGGTATTGTTTTCTTTCACTCGGTTTCTCTCTACTACTGTGTATTTTATTTCTCAGATACAGTTTTGGATTAATTTGTAATTTGGGTTGGGAATATACACATATACATATAAGTATGTACGTGTCTATGTGTCTGGCTATCTATCTATTTATCTATCTATCATCTATCTATCATTTATCTATCTATTATCTATCTATCTATCTATCTATCTATCTATCTATCTATCATCTATCTATCTATCACCTATCAACCAATGTATCTATCTATCCATCTATCATCTATCAATCAGTGTATCTATCATCTATCTATTATCAATCTATTTTCTATCTATCTATCCATCTATCTATCATCTATCCACCTATTATCTATCTATCATCTATCAATGTATCTATCATCTATCTATCTATCTATCTATCCATCTATCTATCATCTATCCATCTATCTATCCATCTATTATCTATCTATCATCTATCAATGTATCTATCTATCTATCTATCTATCTATCTATCTATCATCTATCTATCTAT